CAATAAAACAAATGCTTTTGTCTTTTGCTCATGGCAGTTGTAACCATTTTTATGCATGTCAGTTCAGCAGACAATCTTCATCCACACTCCAGGGATTTATTACGATTATGTCTCCTATCTTATTGTATGATTTTGAAGAAAATGTATTTCAGATCCTCTAAACTAATCTTTTAATCTTAAGTGCACTTGTGAAACAAAAATAAATTAAAATGTACAACCCCATTTCCAAAAAAGTTGGGACGCTGTGCAAAATGTAAATAAAAATAAAATGCAATGATGTGCAAATCATTTAAACCCTATATTTCATTGAAAATAGTACAAAGACAACGTATCAAATGTTGAAACTGAGAAATTTCATCATTTTTAATTTGATGCCAGCAACACATTCCAAAAAAGTTGGGAAGGGGCAACAAAAGACTGGTAAAGTTGTGTAATGCTAAAAAAAAACCCTGGTGGTTGATTAGCAAATGGTCAGTAACATGATTGGGTATAAAAAAGCATCCCAGAGAGACTGAGTCTCAATGAGGAGGGGTTCATAACTCTGTGAAAGACTGCATGAGCAAATAGTGCAGTTTAAGAATAACGTTTCTCAACACAATTGCAAAGAACTTTTGCTTTTTATCATCTACAGTACATAATGACATTAAAAGATTCAGAAAATCTGGAGAAATCTTTGTTTGCAAGGGACAAGACCAAAAAAACAGTATTTGTTGGCCATGATCTTTGATAAAAACAGACATGATTGAGTAGAGGAAATCACCACATGGGCGTAGAAACACTTCACAAAACCACTGTCTGTAAAAAACAGTTTACCACTGCATCCACAAATGCAAGTTAAAACTCTAAAACGTAAAGAAGAAATCACACATAAACAGGATCCAGAAATGCTGCCACCCTCTCTGGGCCTGAGCTCATTTAAAATGGACTGAGGAGAAGTGGAAAAGTGTCCTGTGGTCCGCCAAATTAACATTTGAAATTCTTTTTGGAAATCAAGGCTGAAGACCACTCAGCTTGTTATCAATGCACAGTTCAAAAGCCAGTAGTCATGATGGTTTAGGGGTGCATTAGTGCACATGGCATGGGTGACCTGCACATCTGTGAAGACACCATTAATGCTGAATGATATCTACATATTTTGGCAACATATGCTGCCATCCAGACTTTCTTTATCAGGGAAGGTGTTCATTATTTCAGCAAGAGAATGTCATTCTGAACCACATTCTGCATGTATTACAACAGCATTGCTCTATTTTAAAAGAGTTTGAGTGCTAAACTGACCTGCCTGAAGTCCAAACCTGTCACCACTGAAAACATTTGTAGGGTTATGAAATGAAAGATACAACAAAGAAGACTCCGAACCGTTGAGTAGCTGAAATTCTATATCAAACAAGAACACGAAAACATTTCACTTTCAAAACTACAGCAGTTGGTCTCCTCAGTTCCCAAACGCCTATAGAGTGTTGTTAAAAGAAGAGGTAATGTAACACAGTGGTAAACATGTCCCTGTCCCAACTCTTTTGGAATGTTGTTGGCATTAAATTTAAAATTTCTCAGTTTCAACATTTGATATGTCTTTGTAGTATGTTCCTTTAAAAATATGGTTTACATGATTTGCATATCATTGTACTTTCCAAAAAAAAAAGTACTTTCCAGTTTAATGTGAAAACTATGTACTTTAAATGCTTTAAAGGGTCCTGTGAAGACAAAGGTATGATCTAACTAAATCAAACTCTGCGCCATCCATTACTTGGAGACCTAGTTGGATTATGCCAGGCGTGGAGCTCCTAGGGGCACGGTTCTGTAACGGCCTGCCGTAATATTCCTAGACACTTTACTATTTAAGACCTAATAAAAAGGGTCATATAAAGTCAGTGGGGTGACATGCCTAGATTGGGGGCCACAGGAGCCAAGGTTAACTTTCTTGGAATTTCTGCCAATGCTTTTAAATGACATGTTAAATGGATTTTAAATTATTTTTATATGTTAAATGATAAAAATGCATATTCTCAACCCAAAAAAGTTACATAGAACCATTTGTTTGGTCTGTTCTCTTTGCGTCTCAACGTCTAGTTTGAGTGTATCTGGTTTTGGGGATCCTAGGGGCCACAGTTTTGTTAAGGGACCCTGAAATGCTATGAAGTCAAAGGTACAACATGTCCTCACCAAACTCAGTGTCCTACATCAAATGGAGGCCTAGTTGGAATATGCCTGATTTGGGGCTTCTAGGAGCCATGGCTTTGTAAAAGGCTGGTGCGAACTCCACTGCCCAGGCCCCGCCTCCTGTTCACAGCACGGCCACTGGACTACACCTCACGTTCGATCCTGGCAGAAGGGCTGGGGAGCGGAGGCGGTGACAGGGAGGCGGAGCAATGAGCTCTCTGTCCCTCTTGGCTCAGGTGCTCACGCTGCCCTTAATGAGAGCCAGCTGATGCTGGTCTGGATTGGCAGGATGAGCGCTGTTTATGCTACATCCTCCATTCAAGGCCTTTGGGTCTAAAATCACTTAATGAAAGGGTCATCTAAAGGCAACAGGTAGACATAGATACAGGAAACTCAGCACTGCACTATATGCCTTGTGGCCTTGTTTGTGCATGCCCGGTTTAGACCCATTTTAATATGCTGTCCAACTGTATATAGACTACAGCATCCTGCTGTAAGTGCATGAGTGAGAACTGTGCATGTTTTTCCGCATCTTATTGCTCAGCCAAGAAAGGCTTAGCAACACATGGTCACTTGTGATGGGAAGCTCGGGTCCTGAGCTATTGCATTCTCTCTGCTCTCAGTGGGGGTGCCATCTGGCAGGGTCAAACTTGCATTTGGGCTTCTTACCCAACCTCCTATGTAAAATCCAACCTCCGAATTGAGTTTCTTACCTCAGAGAACCCATCAGTAAAATTTTGGCAGAGAGCTTTCGAGATTGATTTGAAATGTCAAGCCTCATGTACCTGTATTTTAGAAATTAATATTTATTTCTTGGACTTTGTGCCAATGCTTTTCAATATCAGACATTTAGATTTATTTATTTGAATTTCTGGTGTTAAATGATGGAAATGCATATTCTCAAGCAAATAAAGTGAGTTGGGGACACTTCTTTGGCCTGTTGCATCTGTGTGATTTGTCACCTCAAGGTTTAGTTCAACCTTGTCCAGTATGGATTTCCAAGGGGCCAGAGTTCATGAATCAGTACTCTTCTTTAACCACTGATTAGGTCCTAGGGTCCTATTAAAGCAAAAGTGTGACAGAGCCTAACCAAACTTGGTGCCCTCTATTAACTCAGTCGGCTCTGTCGTCATTTGCCCCGGTTTGACATTGATATGGAAACTCTGGGTGCTAAAGGTCCTCAGAGTACACACTCAGTACACACTCAGTAGGCCTTTAACAGAATTCATGTCTTAGTGATTTAGGGAATATTATATATATGTATAATATATATATATATATATATATATATATATATATATATATATGGTGGTTATTATACACACACACATATATATATATATATATATATATATATATATATATATATATATATATATATATGTATAATAACCACCATTAGTTTCAATGAACTTTTGAGATTTCTATTTTCCTTTCTGAATTTCCAGTGTTAAACTGTAAATGCTTGGAAATTGGAAATGCCTCCTCCATTCACTTGCTTCTTCTGACAATAAACATTTAAAAACTTCACATAAAAATAAGGGTGAGTCACATGATAGTCTAACTTTGCTTTGTCATTTGGTGACATTTGGTATTGTGGCCTAGTTTGATATTTTAAAGATTTACAGGGAATAATTAATTTATAAAATTACAAATAACAGTTCTGCCAAACACATTCTCAACCTCTAACCAGCTCTACTACACACTCCCTCACACTCACCTAACCAGCTCTACTACACACAGCCTCACACACACCTAACCAGCTCTACCGCACACACCCGTATACACACACTCTCACACACCCTCATGGACATCAAGCTCCACTCATGTGTATTATTATTATTAGTGTTCCACATCAGGCATTTACCAAAATCTAGACAATAAAAAGTCATGCAGATTCTCCTAAAGGTGATCTGTTATTCCTGTCTGGATTCAAATTGTTACTTTTTAATGTACATAACTTAACATCCACCAAGAAATGCCCACTCACTCACATACATTTATCTACACTTTATTTCAGTGACGCTGTGACATCAGACCTGTTGTGAACTGATGCTAGAAAGTGATGCAGATGGAGGAGAAGAGACAATGATATTTATTTATTTATTTATTTATATTTTCAGATCTGGGAGAACACAGAAGTGATGTCAGCGGTCATATGAGCATAGTGTAGGGTACTACATGTGTTGAAAAAGAATCATTGGAGTGATAAATGCACAATAAGAGCTCATTTTAAATTACTTGTTAAAACATATTATTCTGTCAAAACATTAGGGTTCTGTTGATTATATTATATTAAATTACATTTTGTTTATTCTGTATCTTTATTTATTTGTTGGATTTTTAGTCAGTCAGTTGAACTTGTCTTATTTCTGTGTTTCTGTCTTCTAACAGAAGAGCAGTTTGTGTGTGAGATGTTATCAGTGTGTGGATCAGCTCTATGCAGGTGCAGCATTAATGCTGTATTACACTGGAGTGTTTCCTCTCTCTGAAGTCAGTCTCCTGTATGTTGGTGTGTTTCTCACCACACTGCTGCGAGCGTCTCTCCTCACACACACACCTCTAGAGACAGAGGTGGAGTTCTGTTCATCAGTGCTGACGCTCTTTTGATAAATATGGAGAAAGGAAAAAAAGCCTCCTCTGATTTGTCACTGAAAATGTTTGATGATTTCCTCTCCTCTTTCTAATAAGGTGATAGTGAGTGTGATTGGCGGGTGTGGGGAGCCTCTCTCTCTCTCTCTCTCTCTCTCTCTCTCTCTCTCTCTATCAGTTTCTTCAGTCTCTCTGGGGGAGTGGAGGTGAAGCTTGTTCTGCTGCTGAGTTGAACGGACTGTGTGCAGGTCAGAGGGAGATGGACAGCTGTGTGGCTCTCATTCTTCTGTCCTCCACAATCACACTCACCACAGCTGGTAAGTACACTTTCAGTATCAAACAATAATTAAGATACAATTTTAACTGTGCTGCTTTCTCTCTGTTATTTTTATTTGAAAATACCTACAGCCCTTTATATTGTGTGTAAATTTCAAGATAAATGGAAAGTAAAGTCACCATTTTGGAAATACAAGCTTTTCGTCCGACAGCAGCAATATGTTTATATAAAACATTCTCTCTCTCTCTCTCTCTCTCTCTTTGTTGTACAGACAGTGTGAGGTTGGTGGATGGTGGCAGTCGCTGTGCTGGGAGAGTGGAAATTCATTATAATGGAACATGGGGAACAGTGTGTGATGATGACTGGGATATAAGAGACGCTGCAGTGGTGTGTAGAGAGCTGGGCTGTGGAGAGGCTGTAAATGCACTGATACGTGCTCACTTTGGACTAGGATCAGGACCAATCTGGAAGGATGATGTTGACTGTAGTGGATCAGAATCTACATTGATTAACTGTACATCGACTAAATGGGGTGATCATACCTGTGATCATTCTGAAGATGCTGGAGTTACCTGCTCAGGAAATCTTCTATTTGATGCCATTGGTATTAACTCCTATATTACTTGAATGAATTTAACAGTTTTTACAGCTTTAATAGCTGTTTTACAGCTTTTGTTCTACTGTAAAAAGTCATTACAGATTTTTGGAATCTTGAACATCTTTGTGGATTTTGAAACCACATTTTCCTTCAAATTCCCATTTGACAGGAACACATTACAAACTAAGACTTCTGGGCAGGTGTCCAGGGACCCCAGCCACAAAAAGGTTTTATTAAACAGTTCTGTAACATAAGAATAGCTCAACCGGTTTACACTGAAGTTTCTGTAGTTACTGAATAACCCTAAGTATGTAATAGGCCCGAGATTTTAAGGGGTTAGACAGCATAAAATTATAAATGATTGAAAGCTATTGATAGAGCATGTTGTGGCTGTGATCTTTGCTGCCATTATTATATTATTCTCTTACTGATGTCAAATATATAATGTCTGAATTGATAAATGTGATAAGATATTTACTTAATTACTTTTGCAATTTTTCTATCTATATTTGTGTATCCTCACCTTGTTGTACAGACAGCATGAGGTTGATTGATGGTGGCAGTCGCTGTGCTGGGAGAGTGGAGGTTCGTCATAATGGAACGTGGGGAACAGTGTGTAGTGATTACTGGGATATGAGAGATGCTGCAGTGGTGTGTAGAGAGCTGCGCTGTGGAGAGGCTGTAGATGCACTGAGTGATGTTCACTTTAAACCAGGATCAGGACCAATCTGGATAAATAATGTGCACTGTAGTGGATCAGAGTCTACACTGAGGAACTGTAGATCACCAGGATGGGGAAAACATGATTGTAATCATACTAAAGATGCAGGAGTCATTTGTTCTGGTAGGTTTTGCTGATAAATTCAATTTTCACTTTTTAAATTTCATTTAATTTATTATTAATATATTTTTTTTAAATCTGTATATCTTTACAAAATGTGTTAACATGTTAATGTGTTCAAGTGTAAAATACAAATAGGTTCAAAGTTCGTAACAGAATGATATATGACCTGAGAAACTACAGTACTATACAATCTCCACTCTTATTTTAGGAGTCAGGCTGGTTGGTGGTTCTCGCTGCTCTGGGAGAGTGGAGGTGCTTCATGGAGAGACCTGGTCCACAGTGTGTGACTTTGACCAGCAGGATGCAGAGGTTGTGTGTCGAGAGCTGGGCTGTGGGCTTCCTGTGGAGGTGCTGGGAGCAGCTGCTTTTGGCAGAGGGGAGGGTCCGGTGTGGTTAGAGGAGCTTCAGTGTAGAGGCAACGAATCTCAGATTCACTTCTGTCCAACATTGTCTTCACCCGAAGACAGCTGCTCCCATGACAATGATGTGGGTCTGGTTTGTGCTGGTAAGAGCTGCACCTTTTCCTATTAGTCTTAGATTCTATGCTGTGATCAACTGTTTAAAATGTTATTCTGACAATTACAGACAGTGTGAGGTTGGTGGATGGTGGCAGTCGCTGTGCTGGGAGAGTGGAGGTTCTTCATAGAGGACAGTGGGGAACAGTGTGTGATGATGGCTGGGATATGAGAGATGCTGCAGTGGTGTGTAGAGAGCTGGGCTGTGGAGAGGCTGTAGATGCACCGAGTGATGCTCACCTTGGATCAGAATCAGGACCAATCTGGATGAGTAATGTTCACTGTATTGGATCAGAGTCTACACTGAAGAACTGTAAATCATCAGGATGGGGTAAACATAACTGTGTTCACAACCGACATGCTGGAGTCGTCTGCTCTGGTAAGTTACAGTTAGTCATCATATTCATGATTTGTCATAATATTATAATCACTTTAGAATTAAGATTATGAATGTTATTGACTATATCTATTTACCAATAATTCTCTAAGTTGAAATATGATTAGTTTCTCTATTAGTTTTCAGGACAAAAGCAATAGGCTGACTAAAACTCCCTGTAGTACAATGTAATTGCATTATCCACAGTGGAACTTATCTGATTCACATGAATGTGAAAACTATGAAAAAACATCCTGCACTTATATCATTAATCTCTAGGCTCTGTTTTCGTTATAAAGTTGATTTTAGCTGTGTCACCCTCAAAGGTGTTACTTGAGCCAAAAGTGGCTATGAAGTTGCACCTTTGTTTATTTACAAGGAAGTTCTTGGCATACAATACAATAAACTAACCAGCAAGCGCAAAGGAAACAAACATAAATGCATAGACTTGAAATTTTCTTGTTTTCAATATTGATATATTTATATATTGTAAACACTGGATTTCCTTGAAGACACATTTGCAAATGGTTTGCATAATGTATTGTTTTATTGCTAACTTTTATTTATTTCACTGTTAATGTTTTCTGAATAAGTGAACGCTTACTGCCCAGATAAATGGTTTTAGATAGAGTTTTCTTTGTATATTTAGGCTTTAGTTTGTAGATGTATATTTGTTTTTGTGTATTGTTCTTCTTTTAGAAGTCAGGCTGGTTGGTGGTTCTCACTGCTCTGGGAGAGTGGAGGTGCTTCATGGAGAGACCTGGTCCACAGTGTGTGATGCTGGATTTGACCAGCAGGATGCAGAGGTTGTGTGTCGAGAGCTGGGCTGTGGGCTTCCTGTGGAGGTGCTGGGAGCAGCTGCTTTTGGCAGAGGGGAGGGTCAGGTGTGGCCAGAGGAGCTTCAGTGTAGAGGCAACGAATCTCAGATTCACTTCTGCCCAACATCTTCATTCAAACACAACTGCTCCCATGACAATAATGTGGCTCTGGTCTGTGCTGGTAAGACCCATAGATTTTCCTGTAATCCTTAGATTCTGTGGGCAGCGATGAATTATGTAAAATATTGAAACTGTTCTGCAAGCTCTCCCTACCTCTTATTCCTCCCCCTGTTGTAAAGAAAGTGTGAGGTTGGTGGATGGTGGCAGTCACTGTGCTGGGAGAGTGGAGGTTCTTCATAGAGGACAGTGGGGAACAGTGTGTCATGATGAGTGGGATAAGAGAGATGCTGCAGTGGTGTGTAGAGAGCTGGGCTGTGGAGACGCTGTAGATGCACTGAGTAAAGCTCACTTTGAACCAGGATCAGGACCAATCTGGATGGATGATGTGACCTGTACTGGATCAGAATTATCTCTGAAGAACTGTATAACAGAGGGATGGGGCAAACATAACTGTGATCATGGACGTGATGTTGCAGTCATCTGCTCAGGTAAGCTGCAATTAGTCATGACATTAATGAATATGAGTTCATCTAAATGTTATCATTATGATCATAACTTATTTTGGAATAATTAATTGAATGATTGAATGTGAATAACTTTTTTATATTAAATTATATACCAGTAGTTCTGAATACTGGCAAATGAGACAATGTGTACATGTGAAAAACTCTCATAATGTAAACAGTATAACTTAATCTATTTTAAATAATACCTTCTTAAACATTTATATGATGTACTTCTGCTCAAAAAACATATAAAGTTGGCAAAAAGAGTATGTCCAGGTCTTTACACTCATTAGGATTGTGAAGATTTATGAATATACATATCAGTGTAAATTGGAAACACCTCATTACCCTTACCATTCCAAACCTTTTCTCCCACTACCATGCAGACTGTAATGTAACAAAATGGAGAAAGTTAACAGAAGGAAATTCAGCTCTGCCTTGTTGAACAGAATAAGTAGTATGAATAATAACTGAGATGAAGTGGAGCGAAAATCTCAAATGTTCATGTTTTATGACTCAGGATTAAATGGTGATTGCTGCCACATTTCATTTATATATCAAGTCTTTTCTCCAAAAATCAAGATATCAAGATATTGTTTCAGTTGCAGTTAAATGAGTGTTATATGCTCATCACAATACATGATTTTCTTTAGCTTTCTACAAAAACCAAAGAGGAAATACATGAGGTTACAGGGGGCTTTTGCTCAGTCAAACCTCTCAACACACCACAGAAAAGGTTAGATTCTGTCGTTCTGCCACTCCAGCACTAATTATCTGATTCACTTGCTCAGATAAGGGTTTTTATCTGGAAAATGTGTGTCAGTCGTTAGCTGGAATTTAAAGCTTGTGTCGGTGGCTATAGCCGCAGTTCAATCTGCTTTGTGGTATTCAAGGCAGTTATAGTAGCTTGTAAAAGCACTGCATACCACAGCTTAGTTTCATTACCTTAGATTTGAGTCTTTGTCCTCTAAACTCCGGTGAATTGTGCATTAGTTTGCCAAAATCAAATGTGTGCTGTGGTGTGTGAAGCTGTTAGCCTGCTAGATCAGCTACAGCTAGCTCTTATCAGTTTTAGCTAACTGGTGCTGCACTGCACAAATATCATGAACGTTGAGTTCTGCTAAAATAGCAGATTCATGTTCTGTAGCCATATGTTTTTTTTTTTTTAGAAAATTACAATCCTGTAGTGTATTTTATTATACTGAACTATTAGACTTTCAATCTTATTTACTCCATTTGACCTTGACACATTTTTTTTTTGTCTCGTCACAGTTGCAGTTGCAGAGCAACTGCACCACAGTTATCTCCATTCCTACACCCCACTCAGAACTCTTCTGTGTAACGGGTTTTGCAATTTTTAATATTATTATTGCTAGAACCTTATGTGAGGGTGTGAGGTAACCCGGATTTATTTGAAGTCTACAGACCAGGGCAAGAGAGAGAAACGCTCGCACCAAGGATGCTTCAGAAAAGGGAATTTATTGGCTAAATATCAAACTACTTTTGGACTACATTCAATGATAAACAATAGAAAATAAAACCAGAAAACAAAACAAAACAAAGTGATAGTAATGAAAGACAAAATAGCTCGAGTAAGAGTGATTCACGGCTAAATGGTATGAGGCAGTGTGGTTTGGGGAGTTGTTTGGGAGAGCCTCTAGAGAATTAACCTGAGCCTGGACGGGAAGAACTATATGGCTGGATGTACCTTTAAAAGTTCTCTTATTAAATAAATTGGCGTCAGGGCCCTGACTGCAAATTTATGGTTCCAGCTTACGTGGGAGTCGGGGGCTGACTTCAAGCGGGGTCGTCTCAGGACAGACTCGATCGAAGGCTGGAGCTCACGCGTTGGTTCCTCTCCTCGCTGGCCATGGATGTTGCATCTCCGTGCGGGCACGCGCCTTCCCGTCAGTGATTGGGCGGAGGCGTCTCGTGGCCGCCTGACGGTGGAGCTTGGGCGGCCTTTCGAGGGTCGATCTGTTCACAGATCAGTGCGTGGCTCTGGGTGCGATGCTGGGTCTCCGTGGCGTCCGAACCGCTCCCACTCCGCTGGCGAGGTTCAGGTTGCAATCAGGGTTCAACTACCTCTCTTTAGCAGAATCGAAAGTTATGGATATAACCTCCCTGGCCCGACAAGAAATATCCACCTTCCTTCTCTGAGGGTGGTTCAAAGGTGTGTAGGCGAACAAAGGTTACAGATCTGAAAATTTAGCGTCCTAATACTTCTGACCTGTCTTTCTGACCTAGGCCGGCACAAACTTAGAAAGTTGTTGCGAACGCAGGCACTCTCCGAATTTTGCGGTGCACTCTGGTTTTGCTCGGCTGGAGACCCTACCCTTTGGAGGTGGTGCCAGAGTGCTGATAGGTTCTCTTCACATAAGGTTCTCTGATTGGTTGTGCATAGTTTGAGGAATACCTTCCCCAAAATCACTGCCTCCTTTGTTTCAGCTAGTTTAAACAAAGAAAAGAACATCTCTGTATCGTCCGATTGGTTTAACTTTCAAAATCAAAGAATGAACAATTTAGATATTCAGGCATGTTTCTAAGAGAGAGTTTAACCCTTGTTACCTGATACACAATACATGTCAAAGAACACAGGTACTTACTATCAACTCTGAACATGACCCAATGCATGAAAATGGTTGGGTCTGACTGTTATCAAAGTTATACTCTACATATTTCTAGCACTTAACGATAGAAAAAGATACAGGTAATATTTAGGTACTACCCAACAACAAGATTAATACCACAAGTAGTATTACTTACAGAGCATAGAAACGTTGATAATCAAGTAAACAAAGCACGAATCATCAAGCAGAATCAAGCAGACAAAGCACGAAGTTTTCTTGCTTTTTATAAGCACAAGTCCTTACGGTGGTGATGCGGTAATTTGCGGTTTCACCCCTTGGGGGTGCTGTGGGTCCATGCTTGAGATCCCTAGGGAATTTAGAAAGTTGTAATTTTGCCGTCCAAAGTCGTACAAGTTCCGTTTTGGTATGTCTAGTTTAGTTAAAAAGAGTTCTAACGAATGATTGTAGTTTGGAGGGGACAAGTACCTTAGAAATGTACTTTCTGTTACTTGGGATAAGAAGTTGTCCACAGGATTTTGGAGAGCCGTGCAGCTGCATTCCAGTGAAGGGTCCTGTTTTTCTCCAGGTCAAAGGAGAGGGGTGCAGCCTCTTGATTCAGCCGTAAATCGACTGATTTTGGGAGTTGGGGGTGATAAGTGACAGATTTACACCTCCAGCTCCAGACTCACTGGAGCCAAAAGGCTTTTAGCTTTTGGTTGTTGATGAGTTTAAGTAAACATTCAACTTGAGGTCATGTTTCGGCCAGTGTTCGCTACATCTGTTAAAAAACAAATACAGAGATGCAGGTTTAAAATTTGCAATCAAGCATTTGGACAAAAAGTACTGAGGAATTACACATCACTGAAAGCAGCATACCTAGAGCAATGTACCAGGACATATTTAGAGTAGAATTTACACTGAGTAAGAAAGGGGATAAGATGGTTGTTTTATCAAGACGACAACCCCAAACATACATCCATAATAACTCAAGACTAAATTCTAAAAAGGTAGAAGGCCAAGCCTTGAAATTAATTTTGAAATGTGAGTCCAGCAGAGGGACGCTCATGACTTTGGGCAATTTAAGTAGGTTTGCCAAGAGGAATGGGTCAAATTTGAACTGCAGTGCTGCACAAATCTAATTACTTCTTACCATAGATGTGTTGAAGGTGTAATTACCAACAAATGATTTGCAACAAAGCACTAATGTTACTAATTTGTGGTGTCTGAATACTGAACTGGATTTAAACAATGAAATGAAACATAAAATAAACATTAAATATTTAACACAAAGGATAAAAAGATATTATTTAAATAATTCTCCCTTGAGTTGCACAGCACATTTAATTTCTCTCTTGTGTTACGTTCCTCTAACATTAACATCCTACACTGACTGCACTGAACAGTTACTTAGTGGAAACTTGTTGGAAACCATGACAAGAATTTCTGAATATAATATGTACATAGATCTGTAAATCTGTTATGAGTTATTTACAATGTTGATGTTATTCAAATACACACAGGTCACAGAAAGTCCAAACTCACTGATGGTTTTCACCTCTGCTCTGGGAGAGTGGAAGTGCTTAACGTGAAGACCTGGTCCACAGTGTGTGATGTTGGCTTTGACCAGCAGGATGCAGAGGTTGTGTGTCGAGAGCTGGGCTGTGGGCTTCCTGTGGAGGTGCTGGGGGGAGCTGCATTTGGCAGAGGAGAGGGTCAAGTGTGGTCAGAGGAGCTTCAGTGTAGAGGCAAAGAATCTCAGATTTACTTCTGTCCAACATCACCACTCAAGCACAACTGCTCCCATGACAGTGATGTGGGTCTGGTGTGTGCAGGTAAAGTATTAATATTTTTAAAAACATTGAACAATTTGCTGAATTGCCTTAATCCTTGCTCTTTCCTTTAATGTGATGTTCATTCAGGTCACACAGGGGCTCGGCTGATGAATGGTTTGGACTCCTGTTCTGGTCGAGTGGAGCTCCAGTACCTCAGTGAGTGGGGCACAGTGTGTGATGTAAGCTGGGATATGAGAGCTGCCAGTGTCTTCTGTGGTCAGCTGAAATGTGGGAGTGCTGTGGCTGTGTTGGGGTCAGACTGGTTTGGGGAGGGGAGTGGCCAGATCTGGGCTGATGTGTTTGATTGTCAGGGGAACGAAACACACCTGTCAAAATGTCCCATTTCATCATGGAGTCGGACTGCATGCTCTCATAAACAGGATGCTGGAGTCATCTGCAGTGGTGAGCTCTTAAAATTGTGTACCACCCAATAATTATTTGGACCATGTTAGAAAAAAAACTGTAAAACTGTAAAAATGTATGGCACCCTCAGTTAATTGAACATATTTTGGTCATGTGATTATTTTCCTCTTTAGGCTCCTCTCTGGCGTTTCATGAGGGGCGAGTGCAGTTGTCTGGAGGGATGGAGTGTGAGGGGGAGGTGGAGGTGTACTTCATGCAGGACTGGGGGAGAGTTCTGCCGGACTCCTGGAGTGAGTCTGAGGCCTCTGTGGTCTGCAGACAGCTGGGCTGTGGCTCTGTGTTGAACTTCTCCAGCTCCTCTCCATCCAGTCCTAAACACAGACACATGTGTGTGAAGGGTTTCAATTGTTCTGGGAGTGAAGCTCATCTGGGGAACTGCGGCAGTGCACAAGCGGTCAACTGCAGCTCCAGAGAACAGCTCTCAATCACCTGCTCTGGTAACCATTTAATAGTCTAAGTATAAACAGATAATAATGTCTTCACTAAATTTATCCTTTCTAACATACGCTGTAATTGTGCAAAATGAGAAAAAAACATCATGCAGTGGACAAATGTAGATCTCTATCTTGATCTCAGTCTTGTGTGTCTGTCTGTCTGTGAAGGTAAGTTTAATTCAGCTCACAGCTCCATCAGGCTGGTTGGTTCTGGGGGAGACTGTGCAGGAAGGCTGGAGGTTTTCCACAGCGGCTCATGGGGGACAGTGAGTGATGACTTGTGGGATATTAAGGATGCGCAGGTGGTGTGCAGACAGCTGCAGTGTGGAGTGGCCCTCAGTGCTCCTGTACCAACCCAGTTTGGACCTGGAACTGGACCCATATGGCTGAATGAGGTGGAGTGTGAGGGGAACGAGACGTCCCTGTGGAACTGCAGATTTCAGCTGTGTGGAGAGGATGAATGTGGACACAAGGACGATGTAGGAGTTGTGTGCTCAGGTAGAGCATGTTGATCTTAAAGTCCTCATATCGTCTTATTTTAGGACAGGCTGTTATTACTTCATTTGTTTATCTTTTCTGATTACATAAAATATTTTCAATTGCCTTTGTGCAAAAATGTTTTTGAAATTTTTGACCGAAGCGGCATTGTATATTTAAATGAAGTAACATTTCCTAAAACATGTAAAAAAGCATATTCACAACAAGTATTAAGACTCAGTACAATTTGTCTTTCTCTCACTAGAGTTTAAAGAGATCAGACTCACTGAGGGCTGTGAGGGGAACCTGGAAGTGTTCTACAATGGGTCCTGGGGTAATGTGTGTGAAAATGGAATGACTGAAGAAACAGCTAATGTGATCTGTCAAGAGCTGAACTGTGGAAGATCTGACAGTTTGAGGGCTTCCAAAGCAAGAATGAAATCAGTTCCTAACTGGCTGGATGATCTGAAATGTAGGAGTCATGACTCCAGTCTGTGGCATTGTCCATCTTCACCCTGGGGACAGAACAACTGTGATAATCGCAACGAGGTAGCTCACATTAAATGCTCAGGTAGGCAGCTTGTAGTGCTTTTATATGTTGTCAAAATAGCATGTGTGAAAATGAATTTGATCTAGAGTGTCAGCATATTAGCACAATGGATTTACATCCTAAATACAAATACAGCTACATATAAATAAACTACTTTGACATATTCAAAGATGAGGGAAATTTTGAGCAGAGACGGCGTCTGAAGTGCTCCTCATCATCTCCTCATCAGAGACACTGCACAGGTAAGAACACACATTAATAGTAAGTGTTAGTCCTCTTCACACAGATAAGTGCATTTGTATCACAGTGTATGACAAAGAGTAAAAATATTACCTTAGTGTAGTTTATAGCTGTATTGAAGTTTATTCTCAGACTGTCCTGCATAGTCAGTGTTTCTCTGTCTCCTCATGTGTGATGTGTATTATGTAGATCACTGGCATCTCAGGCTGAGAGGAACTGATAGAAGCTGCGCTGGGAGGCTGGAGGTGAATCATAACGCTGTGTGGGGGTCCGTCTGTGATGATCAGTGGGACATCAGGGATGCTCAGGTGGTCTGTAGGCAGCTGGGCTGTGGGCCGGCACTGAGTGCTGATGGGAGTGCTGTCTTTGGTGCTGGTGAAGGGCCTATCTGGCTGAACAGAGTGAAGTGTAGAGGGAATGAGATTCACCTGTGGGACTGTCCTCATTCCCTGAAGAACCACACTGACTGCTCCCTCAGGCAGGATGCTGGAGTCACCTGTGAAGGTCAGAGGAGTTTGCTGGATTAGTCTTAATCATGTGCAAGGCTGTTTGGAGTCCTTAAAGCTACACTATGTAAGTTTTGGGGATTTGGAGACCTCTCTGGTGGAAATTTGTAATTGCACGCAGCATGCAGAAGAATTTGTAGATTTTGTAACATCAGTTAGGCTTCAGACTCCTTCCCTAGCATGAGCGTGTTAAAAAAGTATTCAAGAAGAACTCAAAGAGTTTAAACAGAAAGGACATGTCTTCCAAGGATGTAAGTATCGTCATCATGTCTTCATCAATATATTGTGGATTTTGCATTTGAGACTTGCTTTTTTGAACCTAGGCATGTGACATTAATACATAGAGTTATATGATGGGTCCAATATCTTCACAAGATCTGATCCGATGCCTCTGACTTTTAAATTATTATGTCTGGGTTTACAGGATGACTTACAGCAGTGCATACACAACACATTTTCATGACTAATGATAGTTCTTTCAATTAAAAGAATACATAGTGTGGCTTTAAGTTGTATGAAATCTGAAACAGAATTGCTAGTTAACATGATTCCACTTTAGTGAGTGTTTGTTTTTTGTGCTTTGTTGGATTTTTAATTTTGTGAATTGCTTCTGCATTTACAGACACATCTATGCCTTCTACTACTACACCCATAATTACAACCCCCACCTCCACCACCACAGGTACTATTTTGTCACTGAGGTCATTTTTATAAATGCTTCTGAATAGATTATTATGTGCTTCACACAGTTTCTACACAGTTTCTATACTGTTCCTTATTTGTTTACAGTTGGTCAGCCAGTTAAAAGAAAAATCCCTTCTCCACAAACTCCTCCTCCACCTGTTCCGCCCATCTATCCAGTGTCTCTCGTTGTTCTGGGAGTGCTGCTTTTCCTGGCCTTAGTGTTTCTAGTTGTGCTGTTTTACCAGAACAGAGTGCTCAGGAGAGGTAGAGAGATTCAGAGATCATCTACAATCCACTTTCTGTACATTCTCGAAACATCATTAGTCCTTCAGTCTGTCATCAGTCTTCTCTTCTACTGAACTGGCTCCATGTTTCTGTCTGTCTCCCTCACAGTGCTCTCTACGAAGAGACATAAGACTATGACTGAGGCAGTCTATGAGGAGTTGATTGACCGTAGATACATCACTAAAAGAAATGACTTGACTCAAAGGGGTGAGTGATATATGGAGTGCTCTGCATGAGGTTCAATATATTAAATTAAAATATATTTACATACTTATATTAAACAGAACACAATGCATGTTCATTTGCTCTGTGGTCAAATAAATATGCAATTTGCTCAAATGAACAATTTCTTCAGTATAGTTTTCTCAGTGTATTAATAATAAGAATAAATCAGTCAGTTTATTAGATGAAATGTACAGTTAGAGTAGATCTACATGTAGTGTAGTGTGTTAATTCTGCTGATAAGCATCTATTCGGCAGCTGAAGTTAAACTGAGTAATTCCTGTAAAACTTCCATTTTTGTACATACAGAGAAACCACACAGCTGCAGGTGTTTGTGTGTGTGTGTGTGTGTGTGTGTGTGTGTGAGAGAGAGAGAGAGAGAGAGAGGGAGAGAGAAAGAAGAAAGGGAGAGAGTGGGGGTAACACCTAATGTTTTATGTGGGGGGAGGGCGGGTTGTCATTCAGTGTGCGAGCCCATCAATAAGTGAATGATTGAAAAAATGACAAGTGACTAAATGAGTGCGTGCATGTTCGAGTAAGTGGTCAAGTTAGTTTCTGATGGAGTGAGTGAGTGATCAAATGAGAGACCAAGTGACCTGTAGAGTTAGGTACAGAGAACATGGTTGAAGGATTGATAGTAGTGAGTGATCGAGTAAGTGAGTAATTGTCCATGTGACCAAATGAGTGAACAACCAAGTGGTGAGTGAGTGAAGTCATTATGTTACAGTGCCAGTGACTGATTGAGTGATCAGTGAGAGACCAAGTAAATGAGCCCGTTAGTTACAGAATGAGTGGGTAACTAAATGAGTGGCTGAATCTGTGACGGAGTGATTAGTGAGTGACTGAGAGACAAAGTTAGCAACTGGATAACCAGGTTAGTGACCAAGTGACCAAGCGAGTGACTGAGTAAGCAACAGAATGAGCTTTTCAAAGAGTGATCAGGTGAGTGACAAAGTGAGCAAGTAAGTGACCAATTAGGTTAGTGGCCAATTGAGTGATTAAGTGAGTGACTGAATGAGAGAGCAAGTGACCAAGTGAGTGACCAAATAAAGGACTTATTGATGAATGAGTGACACAGTTAACAAGAAGTAGCTGAGTGCATGAGTGACTGAATGAATGTGTAAGTGAAAACTAAAGTGAATGAATGGATAAGTAAGTGACTGAATGAATGAAAAAGTGACTAAATGAGTAAGTGATCAAGTGAGTGATCAAGTGAGTGATTGAGTCATTGGCCAAGTGAGTGATCAGGTTAGTGACTGAATAAGTAACTGATTGAGTGACCAAGTGGGTTACTTTGACCAAGTCACAAGGTGAGTGAGTCAGTGACTGGATGAGTGACCAGGCAAGTGAGTGACCATCTGAGTGACCAAGTGACCAAGTGAGAGAGCATTTGAGTGACTGAGTGGGTGACCAAATGAATCAGTCAGTCAGTCATTCAGAGAGTGTTTTTTTAAGTGAGTTAGTAAATGAGTGTGCAAGTAAATGAATGGGTGAGAGAGCGATTGAGTGACTGAGTGAGTAAGTTACAATCAATGAGTCTGTGGTTGTGTCTGAATTGTAAATTGACCTTTTTTTACTAGATTTTGTCTGATCTGTAGGCCATGACTGCTGGGACTATATTGGCAGAACTGATAAGTATGTGGGAAAGCAGATATTAAAATAAGTTTATTTTGACTATTCAGATGCAGGCTGTGTTTAAGTCAGTCAGGCAGATGGTAAATAATTGAGGGAGAACAATCAAGTAAACAAATGAGTCAGTTAGTTAGTCAGTGTGTGTGTGTGTGTGTGTGTGTGAGTGAGTGAGTGAATATCTGAATGAGTGATAACAGAGAAAGCTTCATTCAAGTATTCAGAGACAGCCAAAGAGTTAGTAGGTCAATCAATAAGTGAATAAGTGAATGAGTGAACTAGAAAGTGAACCAGTAAGGGATCAAGAGTGGAAATGAGTGAGTGTGTGAGTGAGCGAGCAGGTGTGTGAGTAAGCAAGCGAGTGTGTCAGCATGATGGATAATTGTTGAGTGGATGTGTAAGCAAGTGCATGACTGAATGAGTATGTGAGCGAATGAGCAAGTGTGTTAGTGAATGTGATATTAACTCAAGTCGGTGAGTTAATGACTTAGAATTATTTCAGTATATTTTTCCTAGTGTATTTATAAAAAGAGTAAATCAGTTAAATGAGAGTTTAGTGTATATTAGATGACATGTACAGTTAGAGTAGATCTACATGTAGTGTAGTGTGTTAATTCTGCTGATAAGCATCTATCAGGCAGCTGAAGTTAAACTGAGTAATTCCTGTAAAACTTCCATTTTTGTACATACAGAGAAACCACACAGCTGCAGGTGTGTGTGTGTGTGTGTGTGTGAGAGAGAGAGACTAAGTTAGAGTTACCAAATGTGTGTGTGTGTGTGTGTGGTGTGTGTGTGTGTGTGTGTGTGTGTGAGAGAGAGAGAGAGAGAGAGAGAGAGAGACTAAGTTAAAGTTACCAAATGTGTGTGTGTATGTGTGTGTGTGTGTAATGAATAAATGACAAAGTGTTTAAGTCTCATTGTCGGTGACTGACTGAGTGGTCAGCGAGAGACCCAGTAACCAAGCAAGCTAAAGAGTTACCAAATGGTAACTAAATGAGTGGCTGAGTAAGCAACAGAATGAACTGTTCAGAAAGTGATCGAGTAACCAAATGAGTGACCAAGTGACTAAGTGAGTGATAGCTTGAAGAATTAGTGATCAAGTGAGCAAAAAAATAGCCAAGTGGGTGAGTGTTTGAATCAGTGAGCAAGCACCCAAGTGAATGAGTGAGTGATCAATTAATTTTTTAACTTTACAAGTAAGTGATGGATTAAGTGACCAAGTGACTGATTGGGTGATCAAATGAGTAAGTGACTGAAACAAGTGAGTGACCAAGTTAGTTACTTTGATCAAGTCACCAAATGAATGAGTCAGTAGCCAAATGAGTGATCAGATGAGTGAGTGATCGAAACCAAGTGTGTTAGTGAATGACCAAATAAATGACTGAATGACTGACCGGGTAAGTGAGTGACCAAGTGACCAAGTGAGTGACCAGTTGATGAATGAGTGCCCAAGTAAGCAAACAAGTTATGAGCAAGTAAATGATTGGGGGAATGAGTAATCGCCCAAGAGAACAGGTGGACGAGTGAGTGACCAAGTAAGTGATTTTTTGAGTTTATAACTGAATGAGTAAGTGCCGGTATGAGTGGCCAAGTCACCAAGTGAGTGAGTCAGTGACTGAATGATTGACCGGGCAAATGAGTGACCAAGTGAATGAGCAAGTGACTGAGTAATTGACCAAGTGGTCATTGTATGACCAAGTGATTAGTGAATAAATGAATAGGTGACCAATTGAATTAGTGTGACCAGGAGGCCAAGTGAGTGAGTGAGCAAGTGTGTGACTGAATGAGTCAGTCAGTCAACAGAGAGTCTGAATTTTTTTCCAAATTTGATCTGATCTGTAGCCCATGGCTGCAGTAATTATTGTGGTGACCCACGACATGCGGGAGGTGTGGCCATGCAGAGTGGCCAAGTGTGGAATCTCATGGGTTCACTGCACTTGTGGTGGCAGACACATAAGTCTTGTAAATGGCTGTTCCTGATTAGTCTACCACCGGCCCAGTCTGCCATTCCAAGGGTACTGTTCCTGAGGTCCATGTGACATTACAAAGGCGTGTCATCCATGATAGCTTCACAGCATCCAGAGCCTTAAGCATTTCTAGGAAAATCTCATCCACCCCCAGTGCCTTGATACCAAGGAGCTTGCCAACTACCTCAATGACCACCATCAGGGAAATTCCATCCCATGGGGGAGGCATGTCTTTTGGGTTAGGAGTTTCTCAAAGTGTTCTGGAAGTCAGAGTTTCTCAACCCCTGCTGAGTACAACTTTAGCGAAGCCACTCTGATCTCTGCTTAGTCGCCAGACGATTGTTGAGAACCTCCTTGAAGCCAATCTGTTTTTCCATGGCCTCTCCAAACTCCTCCCATGTTCTGGATTTTGTTTCTGCCACCACCGCTGCTGCTGCCTTTTTTCCCCAACCGTATCTATCTACTGAGTCAGGAGTCCTCCAGGCCGACCAGTCCTTAAAGGCCTTCTTCTTCAGCTTGACGGCTTCCCTCACCACCATCGTCCACCATGGGGTTCAAGCTTTTGGCTACAGCTATGCCTGATGGCTTACACTGTGAAACTTTTGTACAGAGTCCATTTGGACTCCATGTCATCTACCTCCTCTGTGGTGAACAGGGGCCTCTGCCAGGTTTTCCCAGCACACCCTCACTGTCCTCTTGGGTCTATCAGATCCGACTGCCAGTTTTGCCAGAAATCTGATCCAACTCACCACCAGATAGTGATCGCTTGACAGCTCAGCACCTCTCTTCACCCGAGTGTCCAGAACACATGATCCCAAGTCAGATGAAACGATAACAAAGTCAATCATTGACCTTTGATCCAAGGACCTTTGGTACCACATACACTTGGTGTTCATTATGGACAATCAGTGACTAGCTCAGAAGTCCAATAACAATTCACCATTTGAGTTTAGATCAGGCAGGCCGTTCCACCCAGTCACCCCCCTCCAGGTTTCCCAGTCATTGCCAACATGAGCATTGAAATCTCCGAGCAAGACTCTGGAGTCTGTAGGTGGGGCCCTTTCCAGAACCCAACCTACTTGCTCCAAGAAGCCCAAATACTCTGAACTGTTGTTTGGTGCATAAACCCACACAATAGTCACAGTTTTCCTCCCTGCAATTTTAATTTGCATTGAGGCGACCCTCTTGTCCACTGGGACAGACTGCAATAGATCATCAGTTTTACACATGCTTGAATTAACTTATTGTTGTCTGAAAAAAATTGCATGAATAAATCATGTTTGGTGTGTAAAGACCTTAAGAATGTGTTCCTCAGCAGCTGTATAGATGTATCAGTTGAGGAACTGAGGAGAGAGGAGGCATTCTAAGAAAAGAAACACAGATGCATCTTATATTGAAATCTTTTTTTTGTTGTAAATCATGATTTTGGCCTAAAATGAGACCAAAAGATGATTGTATGCAATTCATTTTTGTTGTGGCTGAATTTTAACAAAATACAAAGTTAACTGATGATGCCCCCCCCTGTAGCTTGCAGTGATCCACAGCAATTAGAGGATTGTTCTGCTCTCCTTTAACAGGAAGTATCCTCTCTGAAGAACAGCATTCAGGATATGAGAATGTGGATGAGGAGCTTCTCTCAGGTAAGAGGACCAGAACATGTGTGAGCCAATCTCCATTCCACTGATACGTATAACAATCGCAACTTAGAAATGAGAGAATTCATCCCTATATCCATGTTTCATGAGCCAAAGTTAAATCAGTATTTAGAGAATTAAAATAGAAAATTTATGTGAAGGGAATAAATGTGTGTGTGGGAGTGCAGTGCGTGATGATGGAGGAGATGTGTCTGGGTCTGTATTTTAGTGTTGTGTCTGAGAGCACCCTCTACTGTCTGCACTGATATTATTTCCTGTTATTGACCCAGTTCACAACGATCCACAGCACTCAGAGGATTTTGGGTGGTTCTGCATTCTGTTTCATGACTGTTTTGCTCTCCTCTAACAGGAAGTATCATCTCTGAAGCACAGAATTCAGGATATGAGGATGTGGATGAGGAGCTCCATTTGGGTAAGAAGATCTGAAAGTCCATACAACTGAGAAATATTACAATCACCTTTTAGAAATTAGAGAATTCATTATAAATACATGTACACAAATAAATACATTAAGTCGAGTTTGTTTTAGCCATGTCTCTTTTATGCCAAGAATATTTAGGCTCAGAGTAAAATTCTCATCCACGTCACACCTGATGTCCTCTCTTACTTATACACAAAATAACTCCAGAAGTGACCCATTGGTCAGCACCCAGGTAGGACTTCAACTGAGATGGGAATCAACTGTGATTGGCCTTTTGGCAGACATTCAGTCAGCAGTTTGTCTGTATAGTCTTATCATTTTTTGCATTTCATTGTTGTCCAATGAGTAATTGTGATTGAGGAAATTGACATCCATTTTTAAAATGTTTATAAATAAGGTATGCTTTTATTGATTTAGGTGAATCAGCAAAAGAGGACACAGCAGAGAGCTATGATGATGTCATCTCTGCTGGACAGATCTCTGATAGTGTAGCAGGTATGTTTCTGTGTTGGGGCTTTAGTTTAGAAAGATGCAGAAATAAAGTAGAGATTAAAATCATTACAAATGTTATGAAATTAAAATAATTAAATAGTCTGTATTTGTAATGACTTTGTGAACCATTTGTGGAGCTTTACTGACCCTTTAAGCAGTGGTCCACATATAAGTGCAGGAAGGCCTTTTGGTGCCAACATATGCCATCACACCTGCAAAATCTGGCCCAAATTAATGTATTAATCTTTATTCAAATTAAAAAATCATTTTGTAAACAAATTTATTTTAATGCTTAAAAAATGCAATAAAACTACATCGATAGTAACAAATGTTACAAAAACCCAGCGTACACTTGTGTCTGAAACACCTAACAAATACAGCTGTGTAAAATATGGTTTTATATGATTTAAATATGTCTGTGTTTTGGTGTAGAGGGCTTAGCAGAGATTTATGATGATGCCACCACTGCTGATCAGAGCTCAGCTGTTGAAACAGGTTTGACTTATAATGTAATAATACTGTAATCTCAAACTTGAACACAGTCCCTGATGATACTGAAGCTGATTTAATGACTTGACAGAATACTTGGCAGATGTCTATGATGATGCTGTTACCACTGGACCAAACTCCAGCATTATGAAAAGTAAGTCTTCTTATTGTGTAAATAATGACTGATTTACAATTTAAAACTGAAGCTTCAACACAGAAAAAATAACTTGTATATTTATCTTTCCGTGTTGGTGTAGTGGACACTCGAGAGAGCAATGAGGATGTCTTCAGTAATGAACAGGATGAAGGGCTAAAAGGTGATACATAAACAGTGTTGTCGTCCACTCAATAAACAAACATATCCATATTTGTTAATGTACAAACAGTTAGAAAAGACTAATTTGTTAGCCTTTTTAACTCACAAGCTCTAAGTGCAGAACAGAGTTGGGTGGGTCTGTCTGTAATAATGAAAGTGATTAGTGCAACAGTGGCATACAGGCAAGGCTGGAAGCACAAATGTGATGAGTCTAGTACTCAAGACATGCAGATGCTAAACACTGTCAGTTGTCAGAAATGTTAATGCATTATTAACAGTATTTATGCATTAATGTAGTATTTTACAGCTTTATAGACAGTGGACTTTCTTTGATGTACAACCCCATTTCCAAAAAAAATTTGAATGCCACGCAAAATATAAATAAAAACAGAATGCAATGATGTGCAAATCAGTCAGGCCTTATAGTTAATTAAAAATAGTACAAAGACAAAATTTTATTGTTTTTATGAGAAACATACGCCCGTTTTAAATTTAATGCCAGGAACATATTTCGAAAATGTTCCTGTGTTGTGTCACCTCTTCTTTCATCAACACACAGTAAGCGTTTGGCACCTGAGGAGACCAATTGGTGTAGTTTTGAAAGTGAAGTGTTCTCTCATTCTTGCTTGATATAGGATTTCAGCTGCTTAACAATTTTAGGTCTCCACTGTCATATATTCCATTTCAATGCGGCAAATGCTTTCAGTGGGTGACAGGTCTGGACTGCAGACAGGCCGGTTTAACAACTGGGCTCTTTTACTACAGAGCCATGCTGTTGTAATACATGCAGAATGTGGTTTGACATTGTCTTGCTGAAATAAGCAAGGCTTTCCCTGAAAAATACATCATCTGGATGGCAGCATATGTTGCTCCAAAACCTATATAATGTTCAGCATTAATAGCTCCTTTACAGATGTGTGTCACCCATGGCATGTGCACTAATGTATTCCATACCATTACGGATGGTGCTTTGATGATCCCTCTTCTGTTTAGCCCGGAGGATGTGGCATCCATGATTTCCAAAAAGAATTTCAAATTTTGATTCGTCAAAATTTGTATGGTAAAGTTTCAACATTCAACATGCATTTGTGGCTGCAGTGATGAACTGTGTTGACAGACAGTGGTTTTTCTTCAGTGTTCCTGAGCCCATGCAGTGATTTCCAGTGCAGAATCGTGTCTGTGTTTAATGCAGTTCCACCTGAAGGCCCAAAGATCAAAGCCATCCAATATTGTTTTTTGGCCTTGTCCTTTATTAAGAAAGATTCCTCCGGATTCTCTGAATCTTTATGTACCATAGAATATTATAAATATTATGTACCGTAGTACATAATAAATGTAGTAAATAAATAATGAAACATTATTTTTCAGTTGTTGCACTATTTGCCTGCGCAGTTTTTCACAGAATAGTGAACCCCTCTCCATCTTTACTCCTGAAAGACCCTTTTTTAATACCCAATCATGTTACTGACCTTTTCATATTTCACTTACTTAGTTGTGAGATCTTTCACCAGGTGTTTTTTTTTTTTAGACTACTTCATCAGTCTTTCCCTGTCTTACTTTTTTTAAAACGTGTCACTGGCATCATATTCAGGCACATATGTTCAAAAAATAATAATATTTCTCAGTTTCAACATTTGAGATGTTTCCTCCCTCACGTACTGCAGGTTTTTGTGGTCAGCCCACATCTGAAAGGGGTGAGAGCTTCCCTCCACCCCGAGCCTCCCCTCTTCTACAGTGAGGGTGATGGCTAACAGCTCCTGATCCCCAGCATCATATGTCTGCTTGGTGGGAGAAAGTTTTCTAGAGAAAAAGGCACATGGGATGGGAGTTTTACCATCAACGGTAGACTTCTGTGACAAGATGGCCCCCATGCCAGTGTTGGATGCTTACACCTCCACCACAAAGGGATGATTAGGATTGGGTTTTATCAGGATGGGTGTCTTAGTGAAACATGCCTTAAGAGTGTCACTGCTGCTTGAGCAGCTGGATTCTATTTCACCCATGTAGGTGCACCATGGGTGAGGGTTGTAATAGGTGCTGCTACAGAACTTAAAATATAAATGAATCTTTTGTATGTGTGGTAGAAATGGGCCAATCCAATACATTCTCCACACACTATGCCTGTTGAGGAAATCAGGAACCCTAGGAAGGAGGTGTGAGACACATGAGACTGACACTTCTCCATCTTGACTTACAAACAATTTTCTAATATATTTTTCAGAACTTGCAGTATATGTTGAATGTGTTCTGGCAGGCCTTTAGAGAAAATGAGAATAAGACCTCATCAAGGTATATGAAGACAGAAGTTGACCATATCCCAAAGCACATCATTGATCAGGGCCTGAAAAACAACTGGACAGTTAGACAGTCTGAAGGGCATTACCAGGTACTCAAAGTGATCAATAGTGGTGTTAAATGCAGTCTTCTACTCATCACCTTCCCTCATACGTACTAGCTAATTGACATTGTGCAGATCTAATTTGGTGAACACAGTGGCCCCCCTCAGCAGGTCAAAGGCAGATGACATAAGAGGGAGTGGGTACTTGTCCTTTCCTTTAATGCCATTTAACCCCCTGTAATTAATTCCTCCAGAGGAATGAGCAATTGCTTGGCCAGGGTGACATCAAGAAGGTTCTCCTCTGCACCTCCACTACAGCTGAGAGTTGATCCTGGTTATTACTGTCCTGCCCCCAAGACAGTGTGGTGTCTAAAAGCATGTATGCGAGGGGTGGTGCACCTTGCCCAGCTCCACTCTCTAGTGCCCCTCATGGTCCCTCATTCCAAAAATTGACCAGCTAAACCACATGGTACAGAGGTATTTACATTCATGGTGTCTGCGTCCCCTTTCTTTCGCCTTTCTTTAGGAGAAAGGCGAAAGTGACTCAGTTGCATGGGTTCCTCTCCAACATGTGGAGACTGCGATGGCTCCAAGGGAGCTGTTGACAAAGGATGTGTGAATGTTTTGAGCAGTTATGTTAACATGTCTCCTTTCCCATCTGCTCTCATGAATGAGTTGGTCTAGTTGAACAGCTGTTGTTATAAGAGTCTCTAGGGAATTGCCCCAGTTACAGTTTGTTAGCTCATCCTTCACTGCTTCATTACTTCATTGTAGAAGGCTACAGTAGTGCAAGACTAAGCAAAGTTCCCCAGTTCCTTAAAAGCAAGCAAGAGGAGGCACAGATAAACCACATTAGGAATTAATACAGGGGCAGGTTATGCTTAAGCCACACCTAGGAAGGTCTAGAGGTTCTAAAAGCACTGGTGCTTTGGTGGCATCTGCTGTACAGGTGAGGTGTGAAACCAACTGCCTGCATTCTCTGATAATATCAAAGCACTATCAGAAGTGTATAAACAGTTGAAACACAATTCTGGGGAGTTTTAACACTCTAGAGAGTTGTAGCTTTCTGGACCTGCATTTTCCATCGTTGTTTATTGTTGGAATACGGCGGTGATTACTAACTCTGCTCATGGAGATCTGCTTACCTGAGGAGGTTAACTTTTAATTAGGTGGATCTGGTATGTTACATTTGGACTGGAGCTGAATTCTGCAAGAAGGTAGATCTGGAGCAGGGTTGGTGACCAATGCAATACAGTGTACTTTAAAAAAATGTATTATTTGAGATATATGTTCTCATTTTACACAGATTATGATGATGTGGAAGAGGAGCCTGAGACAGAGATGAATCATGTGACTGAGAGACCACAGCAAGTGTCTTTCCTCGGGACATTATATTCAAACCTCTTCCAACACAATAAATGATTTTGTTATAGATCACAATTCGTACCTTAAGAAGCATAAGCATTGTTTATTCTCGCTTTGCACATCTCAGATAGGATATAGTGGTGTTAAAATTCAGTGTTGAGAGGATTACAGACATTTGTGCTGTTGTCCCTCAAAAACTGTGCCATTATAACTGAAAAAGGGTTTTCTATACTTGGTGATTATTATTGAACATTATGCATACCCAGAGCCTTAGTCACAGCTGCAAGTCAAATTCTCTATCTTTTGTTTCTTATGTATTGAGTGTGTAATAGAATCTCCTGCTGTGGTCAGAGAGGTAACTCTCCAGTGCTCTCCTTTTTATATTTTGACCAGCAATATTATATGCATGATAAATGTTCGTTTGTCATTTTGACTTTTTATATCTCAGAAATGTTGTGTTACTCTTTTAGGAGCAAAAGCTTTGGCTATCTTTGCCGTCTAGGTCAGAACAGAAAACAGATTAGAAAAAAATAGCACACCAAATTGTCTTTGATGAAGTATAATCTCCGGTTACACAGAGTGTAAAGATACACAGAGAATAAACATGGCATTCTGTGGTTAAAGAGGGACTTAAACTCAAATAAAGGCAAACTGATCAGTGTTCATTACCCAAAGACAGTGAGCGAGGATACAGGTTCTCCAAAAAATTATTTATTATTTTTTGGAGATTGAATTCTCTTCGCCTTTTTTTTCATTTTCAGTACTTGTTTCTTTATATTTTAATAATCAATTATTTTAATCATTAAATAACTGAAAATGTCTGTAATAAAAGAAAATATCTTTGTAAAAATGTCTTTAAATAAATATGACAAAGGCAATTTGATTTTACAGCATGGATTCAGTTTTGTTATAAAATAATAAAAAAAAAAACTCATTAACCAGCTTCATTCTACTATTTGTTTTGAAATTTAGGGTGTATAGACCTGATTTACTGTGAATGATGAAATAAATGCAAATTATATGTAGTTGGGCTACAGTAAAGACCAGAGAACATTTTGAATTGTATCTTGTAGTTGAAGCCTAGCCTTTTCAACCTTTTTTAAACCTTGTAGTGATATCAAACCTGATCAAATTCATCCACAAAGAAAAGACA